TTCTCAACTTGTAACATTTTGACTAGTTTCTAAACGACATCAAAGGAACTAGATTTATCTTTTAAAAAATCAACCCAAGCAGATATAGAGAAATCATCAACACAAACAAACACATATCTCTTACCTCCTAAGCTCTAATTTTGCAGAGGTTCCATTAGATTTATATGTAGTAACTCTAACACACAAAAGGTATTGAGATAAGATAAAGCTTTATGGGAACTCTTGGCTTGGTTACTGATAATCCTAGGATTATACTTTTTGTTATATGATTTTTGTAGGATTTTTGATACTTCTTATGATTTTGTGCCTGAATTGTTACTTAAATTTGCATATTTTATGTTTTAGGCCAAAACATGTAGTTGGCGCAAAACAGAGCAAAGATGGGTTTCTGGATCTGGAATCAAGCACAATTCAGAAGATTGGGGAAATTTTGATGCTGATTGGAAGCACCCTTGGAGTTTGTTCCTATTGAAGATCAAGAAGATCGAAGATTCAAGTAAAGAAGCAAGCGGAGGGCAATTTGATAAATTCAACAAAGAAGATCAGAAGTTCACCGCTTCAAGGTTTTCTCTTTGTCGTGGTAGGATAGCCTCTAGAATCATGGAGCAGATAAACTCAAGTTGATGCTGGGATGAGATTTTTTCTTCGCTGTGGCGAAAACTACAATTTTATGTTTTTTTTTTTTAAATGATGCGTTTTCCTTTTGTAGCATTTAGTCCTAGGGTTTTTGCTACTAATTAAAGAAAAGTTAGCCCATTTTTTAGGGAGGTCGACATTTTAGGAAATAGGGAAGAGATGAAGATTGAATTTGGATCTCCAAATTAAAGAAGTTTTCTTTTCCCTTTCTTCTTTTATGATGTTGAACTCTGATTTTGTTATGTATTTGGTGTCTATTTTCATTTTGAACGTGAACTAACTCATTTTGGGTTAAAGTTTTGATGGATCCTAGTTTACAATGATTTAATCTATAATATCTTGTTGTTTTTGGGTTCTATTGCATGGATTAAGTGTTTATCTTTGTTCTTAATGTGTTTGAAGGTTGGGTTTTTGATTCAATTGAATGTTGAGCATGATGAGACTGAGAAGTGATTCATGTGTTAGAGATAAACACCATAGATTGAGCAAAAACTAGAGATAGACAAACATGATTTATGAAATCTTTATAGGATTCCACTTGCTTAAGGGACTTTGAATGATTGAACTTTATTTTGTTGAGTATAGAAGTTTAATAGGGATAAGTAGGGAAATATAGCCTGAGAAGGTATATTTTACAACCTAAGGAGTCCGATTTGCAATCCTTGCATGTGAATTTGAGGATAATAGGATTATTTGATTGAATTGGAGTAGCTTGGTGAAATCAAACCCTAACCTCTTTTCTTGAATTGGTAATCGTTTATTTTTTAGAACCCTTTGGTTATGATAATTTTAGTTGTTTAATATTTTGTTTTAATTTAGTTTTTAGTAGCCCCTACAAATCCAATACTATTGTGTTCTTCAATTCGTTATAAAATTAGGAAAATGTTCCTAATCAGTACTTAGCACTCAATCCTAGTGGGAATGATACTTTATTCATCATTTTATTATTTCTTGCAACTAATGCACTTGCTACACATGCATGTTTGTGAAATCACGCATCAAGTTTTTGGCGCCGTTGTTGGGGATTGATTTTGTGTTAATATTGAAGTTTTCTAGTTTTTGCTAAGTTGAAGTTTAATTTTTAGTTTTAATTATTTTAGTTTAATTTTTATTTGCTTGTGATCTCATGCTCTTTTTCTTTCCTTTATAGTTTATGCGAAAAACAAGAAATCATCTTATGGTTCATATTGATCCAGAGATTGAAAGAACAGTGAGAAGACTCATCAGAGAGAAAAGAGAAAGGTAGGAGAGAATCATTGAGATGGTTGAAAATAAAACCTTGAGTGAGTTTTCACTTTCGCAAGTTGATGGTTGTAGTCTAAGCATAACAAGACCGCCTATTAAATCGAATAACTTTGAGATAAAGTCGACTATAATCCAAATAGTTCAACAATCATACAACTAATCTGCACATAGCCAACTTCTTGGAAATCTATGGCACATTCAAGCACAACGAGGTGATAAATGATGCTATTAGGTTGTGACTATTTCCATTCACGTTGAGAGATATGGCAAAAGGATGGCTAATGTCATTACTTGCTGGAACCATCACAACATGGAATGATCTAGCATAGAAGTTCTTCTACAAGTATTACCCACCAGCTCTTTCGACAAAGATGAGAAATGACATCACCTCATTTGTACAAGGCAACCATGAATCATTATATGAAGCATCAGAGAGATACAAGAAATTGTTGAGGAAGTGTCCACACCATTGTTTGCCTGTTTGGATGCAAGTCCAAACATTCTATTTGGGTTTGCCACCAAATGTTTGAACAATGGTAGATGCAGCAGCTAAGGGAGCTTTGTAAAACAGGACACCAGAGGAAGCTCAAGAGTTACTCGAAGTTTTAGCAAATAACAACTACCAAAGACCAGATGAGAGAATAGTGCTAAAGAAGTCCATGGGTATTTATGAAGTTGATGCTTACATAGCCATTTTAGCCCAACTTGCCGCACTTCAGAAACAAATAGGAGGTATGCATGTTAATTCCATTCAAACACCTTAAGTAACATGTGATTTTTGTGCAGGTAACCATGCAAGCATTGACTGCCAAGTGGGGAACACATTTGCTTCATCCTCCTCATCATCAAAGCAAGTCAACTATTTCGCTGGGAATCAGAGATAGCAAAACAATCCATTCTCCAACACCTACAATCTTGGTTAGAGAAATCACCCAAACTTGTCCTGGGGCAACCAAAACAATCAATTAAATCAAAGGATAGTGCCAAACCATCAACCAAGGGTTAATTTTCAACCAGTTGAACAAAAAGTGTCAAAATTGGAGGATAAGTTTGGGAAATTCATGCAAGACACCACAAGTTTTATGAATGAGATGCGGTCAAATTTCATAAATCAATGAGCGTCTATTCAAAACTTGGAGGTGCAATTGAGTCAAATTTTAGAAAAATTGAATGAGAAAGCTCAAGGTTCTTTACCAAGTAATACTGTGACAAATCCACGTGAACAAGCAAATGCCATAACTTTAAGAAGTGGAACAATCTTAGAAGAAGTTGAACCAAAAAGGAAAGATGAGAACTCGCTAGAGAGGAAGGAAGAATATGAGGAAGAAGTTGATGAAGAGATCATTGTTGAAGAGAAGCCAACAAGTCCAAGAAAAGAAGACCCAAAGAAAGAGAAGATGTCGAAGCCAAAGAAAGAAAAATTGCCATTTCCTGAAACCCCTCGAGAGTTGGCGCATCACACTCCTTCAATTCCTTTCCTCAGAGATTAAGGAAGCAAAATCATGATAACTAGTTTATTAAATTTCACACTCCTAAAGGAAATTCTTTCAAACAAGAGGAAGCTGGAAGAGGAAGAAACAATGATACTTACGGAGGAATGTAGCGCCATTCTATAGAAGAAGTTATCACCAAAGCTCAAAGATCTAGGGAGTTTCACTATCCCTTGTGTCATAGGAGATGTTACTTTTGATAGGTTTTATGTGATTCAGGTGCTAGCCTAAATCTAATGCCTTTTTTTTTTTTTTTTTTTTTAAGGAAATGGGGGATTGGTGAAGTGAAACCTACAATGGTTTCCTCGCAGCTTGCAAATTGATCGATCAAGCATCCACGGGATATTATTGAAGATGTGCTAGTCAAAGCGGATAAATTCATTTTCCTGCAGACTTTGTTGTATTGGATATGGAGGAAGACAAAGAGATACCGCTATTATTAGGAAGACCATTCCTTACTATGGGAAGAAGTTTAATTGATCTACAGGAAGGAAAATTGATTTTGAGGGTCCAAGATGAAATGGTAACTTTTAATGTGTATGAGGCCATGAAATTTCCATCAGAATTAGAGTCATGTTTCGGGGTTGATGTGGTTGATAGAGTAGTAAAAGACACATTTGAAGAAATCAATCCTCAACTACCTATTGAAGCATGCATTTCCCAATTAAAAACTACCGAGGAAGATGAGCCAAAGAAAATAAGTGTGCTAGGTATTTGGAAGCACTTCAACTAATGAATACCATCCAGGATCCAGAATTTGAAGACTTGGACATGGTAAGGAGAAGGACAAGGACAAGGCAAAGTTGGAAGAACCTCCCAAGCTTGAATTGAAGCCCTTACCATCTCAAGTATGTGTACCTTGGTGAATCTAATTCTTTTAAGTAAATTGGAGGAAGAGAAATTGCTTCGGGTGTTGAGAGAGCAAAAGTCCGCAAATGGATGGACCATTTCAGATATAAAGGGCATTTCTCCATCTTTTTGCATGCACATAAAAACCATGATCCATCTTGAGTAATGAAAGCTTCAACAATTTCAATCTTCAAAAGTTTTAAGAGCGAATAGAAATAGAATGAGAAAGAGAATGAAAAAGTAAAAAATTTTAGGGATAAAATCATAAAAACAGGTAGAGCCGTGGAGAATAGGGAGAGTTTTAAACTGTTAATGTGATGTTGGCTTAGAATATAAATATATTAATAACAAGTTTTTTGTGAGCCTGAATATATGTATAATAGTTCTCATTTTTTTGAAATATGAGGATAGGCCTGGGTATATATATTAATAGCATTTTTTTGTGGACCCATATATTAGTAAAGGCTTTTTTTCTTTTTTTCTTTTTTTTTTTTAAATATGAGGCCTACCCTCACAGGTTCTGGGTCCGCCACTACTCACAGGGTCGGTTTCAGGTAGGAACCAGAACCGAATAATTGGGTGCCCGCTGATTTTGGTTTTACCCGAAAAGTCTACACAGCCCTAAATATTACAATCCCATTACTATGAGGATATTATATATAATGAATATTCATTGGAAGACATTCATTTAACTGCTATTATCAAATTAGATTGTTACCCAAAAAAATAATATAAATATAAACTTAATAAAAATAGGTATTCTTATCACCAATGGGATAACTTCAAATACATAATACAACATCATACAGACTTAAGAGAAAAACCTAAAACGGAATGAGTACAACATATCTCTCAGGAGACTATACTGTGACGAATCAAATGCAAACAGGGGGAGAGATACAAATATGGTACAAAGAATGAGGATTGCATTTGATCTAGGGTGATCATAAGCTGTATAAAAAGCTTGAAATCAAAGCTAGCATCATGGTTCCTATAGATATGAATAGCATTAACAATCCCAAAACCAACTTAAGCGGTAATGATATCAAAAAATCATTTTCTACGTAACGGGATGTAAGAATAGATAAGAACGTTAGAATTGAAATCGAAGAGGAAAATGATGCAATCACTTTTGCAATAGCAAATATACGAAGCACAATTTTCCTTCCTTCATTATCATCTTTACCTCCTGGTACAGTGAAAGTTGGTTGAAAAACCACAGTAGCAATGATTGTTGCAACAAGCAAGCATTGGCTAGCTATGCTCCTCATCCACTTTTCTCCGTCTTTCTGTAAGCATGCATGTGTACTAGTGAAGAGCTCTCGAGGTGTTTTGCCTTCTGAATTCTTCAATTCTCTAAATGAAGGCATTACAAGCTTTTCAACATCCTACATCATTAATATGAATCATTAATTTTACACAAAGAAGTTGGTAGCTTAATTTTTTAATTACAAATTCATTACTATTGCAATTCAACTCTATCTTTAGTATTTCTTTTATTAAAATAGTCAAATTATAATCATAAGATATATATTTTAACTGAAGCTCTAATAAAAAATCATCAATAATTTGTAATTCTCCAGGTAAATGTATAAAATAATGATAATTAAATAATAAGACACAAAAGAAGTTCTAAAAGTATTTACCTTAAAAATGTGTAACTCTCTTTCCATTTCTAGAGTTGCACTTGACATCGTGCTCAATGGTCTTAGATCTGAATATTTTGCTGCTAGATGTAATAGAATATTTTCCTTGCTCAGTGGTCTTGGATCTGGATATTTTGCAGCTAGATGTAATGAACTATTTTCCATGCTCAGTGGTCTTGGATCTGGATATGTTGCAGCCAAATGTAATAAAGTATTTTCCTTGATGTCTACATATGATGCTACAACATGTTTGTTGAAACCTATCTGATTTATTAATTTAAACAAATCATCATGACGATGCATAATCGCAATGTGAAATATGGTCTGTTCTTCATCATCTTTAAGATGAACCAAATCAGGATAAAGTTCAATGAGTTTACCCAAGAATTTGAAGTTTCCTAATTGAGCTGCTGTGAACAGTAAATCACGATGCTCTTTTAAGTAATCCCAAACTTGGTCGCGCTTTGCCTTGAATATTTTCTTCCAAAGGCATTCGACTAACGCTAGAGCTTGATTTATTAAAGTGGTTCTGTCACTTTTGCTCTTTCTTATCTCTAATATTTTCTCCCAAAGACACTTCACAGACTCTAAAACTCTATTTGATAAGATTGTTTCTTTACTTCTGCGATTTTGGTCCAACAGATGAAAGGGCGTTAAAGCCAACCGATGCAAGGGTGTCAAAAGATTGTTGCCATGCTCGTATTCAGTCATAGCCAATTCATTTTCATTATCATCTTCATCTTCTAGCAATTCCCTTGCAAGATCTAAGAAACTCATCCAAATATTTTTAGCACATGTAGCTCACAGTATATATTATAAGTATGTCTAAATGATACAATATGTTTAAAATAATAAATAAATTCAGAAGTAGATACGAGAAAATAATACAAATTGCTTTGATCCATTTACCAAAAAAATTCAGATGTTAACCAAATTACGTGCATTCACTTATTTTATTCAAACAGAAAATTGAAGATTAAAATCAAGCAAGAAAAGAAATACGTGAACACTTACCGTACAAAGTAGTATCGATGCTATCAAACAATAATTGTTTTTTGTCGGCTAATGTCAGTGTTCCTCTATAATACTGCCGGTATAAATATATCGCCATTTCTCTTTCTCCAAACATAGCAGCTAGATTTAGCGGAGTCAAATTACCGCCACCTCGGATTGTCAACAGGTCTCGTTTCTTTTTCAACATTTTCTCAGCAATTGATATATTCCCAGCCATAACAGCAAAACAGAAGGCAGTGTTCCCTTTCACGTTTTGCAACTTGAGGTCATCTGCTGCTGTCTCATCAATCATCTTCTCTAAAAAGTCAGTCTGATTTGCCCCTGCTGCTACATGGAAAATAGTTTCATGTTTCTCTGTTATTGCAACATTGAATGGGCTTGGTGGCGAAGCGGCATTTAATGGGCTTGACGAAGAAGACGCACTTGATGAGCTTGATGAAGAATTACTGAGCAGAGGATTATTGAACTGACTTTTAACTGCATCAATATTTCCCTCTATTGCAGCTTTAAGAAGATGCAAACGTAATTCTTCCTTACGTGAGTTCCGATCTTCAAAATCAAAAAATAATTTGGATGAACATTACATATAAAATTAAAATATGTCTCATTGTTTTGAGAGAGAGCTAACCAGTCAACAAATGAAGGGAAGGTAACCACTGAATAGTTTGTTCACTTCGTTCCAGATTTTGCTGCTGCTGATTCATATCTATTGGAACTTCCGTTGATTCATGATTTAAATTCCCACTTCTTGGGTCCATTTCTCCTGAATAAACGTTATCGATTTTGCTACGAATACACGTATGAACTTCTGCTGATTCAAGACTTGAATTTCCACTTTTTGGGTCCATTTCTCCTGAATAAACGAGGTCGATTTGTTTTGGTTATAAGGCATGCTACGAATACGTACACATATGATGATATAATATTCATTTGTTAGTTGAAGTGTCTCTCCCTTGAATTCTAATTATTTTTACCATGCATTTTTATATTCTAAAAAGTGCGAATCCCTATAAACGTAAACTAAAGCAAATCCTTATAAGTTCTAAACGAATACATAAAATTTCAGTACATACTTACATATAAATTAAATTTAAAAAAAAAAATTACGAAATAATTCCTATAAATTTTCAACTTTTTTCTTCCTGATTTTTCTTTCTTCTCATCAAAGATACATGTTAGGAAATTACGTTCAACTTAATAAATAACTCTCGAAGTTTACAAAAAGAGACACCATAATTTTTTCAATCCAAATGTTTAAATTACATTTCTCACATCTTATTACAAAAGGAGAGACCATAATTATTCTTTCACTAAACCAGTTATTGTTATTTTCTAGCTACTACAAATATACCCTTTTTACGGTTACCTTCGTTTTGGTCACGTGTATAAACATTAAATATTGCTTATGAAAATGTTCTAGAATTAATAAAAATATCAAGCTACGCATTAGAGAACATATTTTGAATTACCCTTTCTTCTTTCACAACCAATATTTAATTTCTCACGCCTATATGTATAGTTTCATATAGAGATATTTTATTCTTAATAGGAATACTTACCTTATCCAATAATTGTATGAATCTTATTATCTATATATTTCTATTAAAGTAAAATATAGAGATATTTTATTCTTAAGATGAGATATTTATGAATTGTATTCTTAATAGGAATACTCACTTAATCCAATAATTGTATGAATTGTATGAATCTTATTATCGTCATTCTTGGGAAAACTACAAACAAAACAAGGCAAAGGGCAGAGTTTTTTAGAATCGGGTACCTAATTAAAATTGAATGACTTCGTAACTGCAACTTTTGCTTTCACTAGAGACGTTTTGAGAATAAGTAGATAGATGCATTTACCTACAGGCCGTCAGTTAGTGTCTAAAGTGTTGTCATGTAAAAAGCTGTGCAATTTTTATCACTAGAGGAAAAAAAGAGTGAAAAATGTTATCCTTACAAAGCTCTATATAAAGAGGGTAACAAAGTGACATCAATAAGAAGAAAAAAACAAAGAAAAAATGAAAAAAGAGAGAGAGAGAGAGAAATCATGAAAATCAAGAGTGGTGATTGTCTTTGTATGTCCCCTTTGTATCTGTCTTTGTAAAACTAGGATTGCTAAAAAAGAGTGCTTAGAATAGTAATAATTTAATTGATAATTAATAAAACTAAAATTTATTAATTATTAAAATTAATTAAATAATAAAGTTAATGAAAAATATGATTAAAAATATATTTAAATTATTCATTTTTATGAAAATATCTTTAGAAGAAGAACACCTTTTCATTTTATCGTTTCCAATATACTATTTTTAGACAAACATATCAAGTAATTTTTCATTTTCTGAATATAGATTTTATATTTTCATAAAATGCAAAATGAATTCATAAACAAATAGAATCTTAGGTAAAAGATAAAACTTCACGTCTTCTTATCAACTTATATTTATAGAGTTAATTCATTTATGAGTTAACGAAGAAATGTAAATGATTTTTTTTTTTAATGAAGACATCTTAAAATTTTCAAGACATAAGAACCTAAAATTTTAAGGCTGTGAGCTACCAATATTTAGAATTTTTTTTTTTTTTAATACGTTAATATTTGGGAGTGGGAGTAATTCAATCTGTTGATCAAACAAAAATTATTCACTATTGAAATTAAATAATATTGGAACATAATAATATGAAATACATAGGTCTCCTTTAAAGTTGGAAGTCACTGCTATACCTTGGTATTATCTATGAAGACGGTACAAGAGACTGATAATGAATATATGCATGCATTGCTCACACATATACAATACTAATGATTCCGAAAAATTGATCAGGGATACCTCAAGTAAAAAGTTGCAGGAAGAAATACCTGACTGGCGTTTTCGCAAGACTAATATTTGACTACAGTATACTCCAGTGTGCAAAAAACTTTCAACATCACCCTATTTATAATGCTTCATAATTAGTTTGCTTTATCATTAGTTCAGTCTCAAAGGGCTCTATCCAAAGTGAATTTAAAAATGATTAATCAATTTTGTCCAGCTGTCGAGAATGTTGACCATAACAATTGAAGAAAACCCGAAGAAGGCATGTGAAAAGCCATGTTGTCACATCAGGTTCAAGACAAGAAAAAAAACACCACGCAGGGTGAATAACACGGGATAGTAAGTAAACCCCCTAATATTTGCCCTATAAATTAAACCCCCTCGGGTATCAGGCATGACGTTACCAAAACATTATAAATCCTAACATTTGACGTAGGGAGGGGTGTTTAGCCTGCCCTGTCGGGGACCTGCTCCGCCCCGCCCTGAACACGGTGGGCTTCCCTGAAAAAACCAAGTGTGGGTGCGGTTGTGGGTGCAAAAAGGAAAACCCGTCACACCCGTCTTGCACTCGCATCTGCCTGATTCTTAAAGACATAGTGTACTAATAGTCTAATACTGTAGTTCTAAATTTCTAATTAAGTTTTTCAATGTAAAAGTGAGTTGGTTTAAAATTTTCATAGAACTATAATCATCCGGTAAATTAGTTCATATTTTGGTAATTATTACTATGGTAAAAAATGTGAATAATTGAAAAGTTGCCTTCCCAACCTAATCCATATTTAAATTGTATAATTATTTTGTTGCAACAAATTAAATTGATTCTCTTAATTCAAAAAAATGATTCTTTTAACTTCAAAATTCGTTAGAACCTATATACTTAATTAAAGATGGTATTTAAATAAATTATTGTATATAATAATTTGTTTAATTTAAATAATGAGACTTTTTAATATAGTACATCCTTATTAACTATATCAACATATAGAATTGAATTAATTGATATCTCAATTTTAATTGAAACGTTAAACTTAAATTCTTCTTTAGTAATGCTACATTTTGAAGTGTTTTTTTTCCCTATAAATTATGTCACATTATAATAAGATGCATAATTATTATTGTATCTGTTTGTATTTTGAGATTTGTTCATAATCTCAAAATTATAATAAAATGACTCTTGTATCAACAATACCACTTTTAAATGTAATTTATCAAATGCATATATACTAATTTTGAAAAAAATACACAAAAACTTTAAATTTAAAATTGACCAAATACGTAGCCATTTTTTCTCTACATTAATTAATTTCATATTGAAATTAAAAGTTTTACTAAAAGTTCAACAATTCCAAAAGGACCCTTAATCTTTCCTGAAATCATAAACCTTTTTTTATTTTTATTGTAATTGGATGCGAGGCGGGCTTCTCCCATCCCCCGTGGGGCAGGTGAAAGCATCCCCCCTAAACCCACCCCCAGGGGCGGGTTGGATGCGGGTGTGGGTGTAGAGGACAAGTTTGGGTACTTGGGTCCCTGGCCCCAACCCGATCCATGTCCATCCAAATTCTGATGTAGGTTGAATTTTCAAAATTAGATTTACTAATATAAATTAAAGTTTTAATCTTTTCAACATCAACGAAAACTTTACTCTTAATGTAAAAACACTTATTAAACTTAATGGAAATTTTATAATGTTTGGGTAATGGCAGGGGGTGTATGTCCATTTCTGATACCCGGGCTCAATGCTAACGTAAAAAAAAAACAGCATAATAAACATCACGGGGATACATTATCTGCCAAGGACGAAAAACCAAGCATAACAGACAGTAATAACATTGTTATTCGTGTCTTTAATTAATAACATTGGATCCCTATAAATAATTGCTTTAAATTTTTTTTAATTATTAAGTATAACTAACACATTATCTGTTCTGTTCATTTTTTTTTAGATTTTTAACTTCTTTTTTGTTAATTTTTTTAGATTTTAATTTCTTTTCAATCACATGTATATACTATATTGAAAATTTTAAGGGAATAAAACTTAGAATGAGAATGAGAAATAACTTAACTAAAAAATCAGAATGCACATGGTTTTTATACTAGGGAAAATACGTTTTTCTGGAGCTTTAACATTCTGTAACTAACGGCTAACTAGACATCAAAGCACATTTTGAATCCATGTTGACTTAATCGAAGGTTCATAAAATTGAAACAGCTTGGACACAGTTTTTATACTAGGGAAAATATATTTCCAATGATTTACAAATATTACAATTTAGTCTCAGTCATACCCACTTTGATTCTAATTTTGGTTTTGATTTATTCCAATATTATAATATATATAAAATTAAAATTTATAAATTAAGTTTAATTTCATACCAATCAAGCTAGGCATGTGAAAAGTCATGTGCGTTGTTAAGATCGAGAAACTTTAGTTGTTTAGCTCAGGACAAGTTTTAGCACATGGACAAATATGTGAGACAAAAATTATATATAAAGAATCAAAAAGCATGATGCCACGACTGAAGTTATCTGTTCATTTAGGAAATACTATAATAATAATAATAATAATAAGTAAACAATAAGTTAACAAAACTTGATGCCGATTGCTGTCTGAAAACTGGCATTCTCGCTTGTCTTATTTCTAATTTTTTATTATTTTATTAGTTGAGAAAAAAGCTATTTATAAAAAGAATTCATTATTCAAAATGTATTTATGAATTCAAATTTATTTCTAAGATTTAGGTTATTTCAAGCTATTTTAATTATCTGATACCATTTAACCAGAATTATATAAGATACTTTCTTTTAGTGTGTAAATTTAAATCGCTAGGATAAGTCACTCTAGCGTTACAGTTAAAAATTTTTAATGTCATTTATTTCATTTTTATTTCTATGAAGTTGAAGTAACTCTTATATATATTAATTATTTTTCTTAAAAATTAATTATTTTATTTCTCATTTTATCAGATAAATTTACTTAAGTTTTTTTTTTTTAGTTTAAAAAAATTTGACTACTATTATGTCTTGTAGAATATATTTGGAACATAAACATTAGTTGAACGTGTTACTCAAACTCGACCAATTGAACCTTCACCCTTTTTTAAAGATTTTTCTAATTATACAAATAAAACATAATATGATTGAATTCCTACTGTGAGAATATGATAGAAAGGCAAGAGTGGCAGAGGATGAAGAGAGATGCCAAAGTTTGCCAAGAAAGAAGTGAAATAAGAGAAAGAATCTCTATATATTTTTGTATTATATAGTTTACATGTATTTTGTCCAATTAATACAAAATGTATAAATACAAGAATGGTAAACTCTCGTGTAATGAATGTACAATCATATGAAATAAGAAAACTGATAAAGTATAATTACTAGAATCAAGCCATATAATCTTAGCACTGGAATCAAGCTTGTGATTACTGCATTCCATTGCTCCCTCTCAAGCTTGAAGTTTGTATATGTCATAAACTCCAAGCTTGTGAGAAGATATGAGTGTTGTCTACTGTATAATGGTTTTATAAAGATATCTGCTGGTTGCTTCGAGGTACGAATATGTAGAGTCTTAATTATCTCTTCCTAAATTTTCCCTCTGATTAAGTGGCAATCAATCTCTACATGTTTTGTTCTCTCATGAAACACTGGATTTGCCACAATGTCATTTGCAGTTTTGTTATCGCAATATAAATGGACAGGTCTTTTCACTTGTACCTCCAAATCTCCTAGTAGTGTGCCACCTCCAGCACCTCCTCAACAATGGTCCACCCGTAGCACTCGACCACCTATCTAGACATTTGACTACATTGTCCCACCATACTAGCTTCATCAAGTACCCCTTATCCAACCTCAAATTATTTAAGTGATGACCATCTCTCTGCTGCACATAGAATATGTGTCCATCAGATTTTTACCGACTGTGAACCCAGTAGTTATTTTGATGTTGTTCAACATACTCATTGGCAACAAGCTATGGTAGATGAACTTACTGCTCTGGCTCCCAATCACACATAGGGCTCGGTGCCTCGTCCACCTCACTAGAAACCCATTGACTACAAATGGGTATACAAAATCAAACACTATGCTGATGGTTAGATTGAACGCTACAAAGCTCGATTGATCGCGAAGGGCTTTACTCAACAGGAATGATTTGATTATACATCAAGAGACATTCTCATATGTTGCCAAACATGTTACTGTATGAACTTTCCTTTGAGTAGCATATGTTCAAGATTGGTCTCTCCATGAAATTGATGTTCACAATGTCTTTCTCCATGGTGATATACATGAAGAAATATATATGGACCTTCCTCCTGGACTTTGTAAACAAGGGGAGAACAAAGTATGTCATCTGCTAAAGTCTCTCTATGGACTAAAATAGGCATCTTGACAATGGAATGAAAAATTCACAAAAGCTATTACAAGCATAGGCTTTGTTCAATCCAAGCATGATTGTGCCCTCTTCTCTTGGCACAAAGGTAACTCATTTATTGCTCTCATCATTTATGTCGATGACATCTTCATCACTGGAAATAATGAAACGGTCATCAAGACCTTAAAAGAGCATCTCAATAAACATTTTTGAATAAAGGATCTACGAGAACCAAAATATTTTTTGGGAAATGAAATTGCTAGATCTTTGGCAATCATCTCACTAAGTCAATGAAAGTATGTCCTAGAACTTGTATCAGATTCTAGGCTATCAGCATGCTAACCAAGTGTCATTCTAGTTGAACAAAATACCCAGCTCACCACTCAAGAGTATGATAATGAGGCTTCAGAAAATGATCCACTGCAAGAGGATCCTTCACATTATCAAATACTTGTAGGGCGACTTATTTACCTCATCATGGCACGACCAGACATCAGTTATGCAGTTCATATTCTCAGCTAGTTCATGCATGGGCCAAAGCAATCTCACATTGATGCAGCGATGAAAGTTCTTAAAAACTTGAAAAGTTGTCCTAGTCTATGACTTCTCTTACCTTGGGATGGAAGTTTAGATATAACAGCATACTACAATTCTGATTGGGCCATATGTCCAATGACAAGAAAACCACTCACTAGTTTCAATATAAAA